TGGCTGAATTGGTGCTGGGGAAATACTCTTAAATTATACACTCTATAAGCAGGGTGTAATATTGGAATCTGGAATCGCTAGCCACCCATATTGATAAAAGCAAACAGCCCTTTTTAGTTTCAAAAACAGCCAAATAGAAAACAGCTTGTCCTCAGCATTGATAAACAAACAAAAATAATCTATCAGTTTCTGGTACACAAAAATAGAAAAAAAAACTCAGCTCTCTGGGTGTAAACTTGTTCCTTAACCACTTCGGTACCGGGCACTTTTACCCCCTTCATGCCCAGGACAAGTTTCAGCACTCTCACACTTTGAATGACAATTGCATGGTCATGCAACACTGTACCCATACTAAAGTGTTATCATTTTGTTCACACAACTAGAGATTTCTTTTGGTGGTATTTAATCACCACTGGGTTTTTTATTTTTTGCTAAATTAACAAAAAAAGACCTACATTTTTTGAAAAAAAAACCCACGTTTCTTTGTTTCTGTTATAAAAGTATGCAAATAAATAATTGTTTTTCATAAATTTAGGCCAAGATGTATTTTGCTACGTCTTTGGTGAAAATAACCCAAATCAGTGTTTATTATTTAGTCTGTAGGAAAGTTATAGAGTTCACAAATTATGGCATATATCTGAAAATTGATCAATCCTGAAGTACTGACGGCCATTCTAATTTCATGAGGCCAAAAAATGTCAGAACAGTACAGATATCCTCCAAATGACCACTTTTTGCAAGTAGACAGGCCAACGTATTTCATAAGAGGCATGGTGAGTTTTTTGAAGTTGTAATTTTTTTGTCATAATTTTTCGGAAAATGAATAATAATTAATTTTCATAATTTTTTTTTACATACTGTCACCAGTACAGTACAGCGTCATAATTTATTTATTTATTATTTTTTATTACATTTTTTTCTCTTTTTTAAGATTTTTTTTTTTCATATTACACTATGACCAAAGTAGTACAATGTTACCATAGTAACACTGTTACTACTTTGGGAATTGATCAATATATTTTTTTTTACACAGTTTGATTGCTTATTGCAAAGAATTTCTTTGCTTTAAGCAAGCATTTAACTGAATGAAATCAATTTAATTCAGTATTTTTTTGTTGTGATTAGCTGTGATTGGCCACGGCTAATCACATGACACAGATTTGCTGTGACTGGCCCAGCCTGTGCATGTGATCACTGTGACCATTCCCAGCTAGACATACTTATACCATCACATTATATATAAAAACTGTCATGTGACCTGCTGTGATTGGTCACAGCAGGTCACATGGTACTGGCAATGGGGTTGGTACACAGATTTGTCATCGGCCGTGTCCAAGACAATGTGCAATCCAGGAAGGACGTCATATGACGCCCTCCCGGAGGGATGAGAGGTTCTCCTTTTAACAAAAAAATAATAGATGCACATTTTTTTGCAGGTAAAAAAATTTGCATTTATTATTTATTGTTTGTGGAGCCTCCGAAGCATTGCACCAGCGATCAGCGCTGGTGTCATACAGGTTTCCCCCTGACCTGTCAGTATATCTGCTTGCTCATACATCCTGTACGGGCAAGCAGACACTTACTAACAGAAAGGCTCAATGAACTACCATGACGTCATGGAGCGGCATGTATCCAAGTATTGCAGAGTCGAAATGGGAACATCAATAACTGATAGCTCCTGTCACGTACCTGGTTGGGGAGCCTGACGTCGAGAGGAGGCATCCACTCACTACTCCCGCTCGGAGCCCCTGATAGTGGGAACAGAAGGCACAGAGCCAGGAGTGGCACGAGTGCCGGGTGGGTCTGAAGCTGGTGGCAGGTAGGTGAAGACCCAGGAGATCCGGATGCAGGCCAGGTGCAGATGCAGAAATACGTGGGTGCAGCAGCAGGTAGGTATGGTGGCAATAAGGATGCAGACAGGGAACAGACACAGGAGCGTGGATGTGGCAGCAGGCAGGTATGGCGGTAACCAGGATGCAGGCCAGGTGCAGGACCATGGGTGCAGCAGCAGGTAAGTATGGTAGCAATCAGGCCAGGTGCAGATACAGGTAAGTATATGCAGCAGAGTCAGACAAGCTGGGTCAGGATCAAATGAGCAAATCAAGTACCAGGGAGCAGGCAAGCGTTATAGTCAGGGATAAGACAGGGTTGGTGCAGGTGGAGTTCTTTCTTAGTCAGGGTCAGTTCAGATACAGGCAACAGAATCATGTTATGGAGTGCAGAACATTATAGACCAGAAGGCATTGACTAAATTGCATTGGAGGTTTAAAAGCCCGCCTTGCGATGACGTGTATGCTAGTGCGCATGCTTGCACTTGCACCACCACAGCCAGAGGGGATCCGGCGCAGTCATATGGCTGCACAGAAGAGGGATCCCTGACAGTTCCACAGAAAAAAAACTGGAAATAACAGCAGCAATAATGACAGTGCCAATGGCCAGATAGAACCACAAGCAGCTGCCAAACTGTCTCAGGCTAGAAACAGCCCTGAAAGTGTCAGTCCTCTAAACTTTGCTCTGTTAACACATTGTTAGTAGCTCTCAGAAGTTTGGGAGACCAGGTGGCTCCTTGACACTCAAGTTGAAATGTAAAAGCCCTTTCCAGGTTTCTCAGGGGTCTTCTTTTCTCTTTGAAGCCACCCTCTGCCATCTTTTATTTAATTGGGCATACATACCTTTTTTGGGGAGGATCTTCTGTCTGGTCACAAAGACCATAGGTCATATTCTTTTTCTCCCTGTGATGGTGTTGAATGGTCATGGATGCTGCAGAGACTGGCTCCCAAGTAGCAATGTGAGTGCCATTCTTTAAAGCATTCACTTATTAGCCCAGGCTGGACATTGATGGGAGTTTAATGAAGCTGGTCATCATTCAGCACTGTTGGTAGTGGATGAGTATTGCAGCTAGATTAGCTTTTTTATATTTTCTAGTAATTTTTACTTGTGCTGCCCAATTTTATTTTTTTTAATTTTGTTGGTAATTTTTTTTCTACAAGGAGTTGGTTTTCAACCTGTTGCCTACAACACCATGTTGCCTACAATTTTGGGGACAACCCCAAATTTAGCATTTCACTTTCACTTTTAATGATAACGGTAAACAGAGAGGGTGAATCTTCCTACTGGGGGCATAGACAACAATAAAAAACTGACAGATGTTCTAATCCAAAGCTAAAAAAAAATTGCCTTTAGTTTTTTACTTTAATTATGCCTGATATTTCTAATAATCTAAAACTAAATTGTTCTTCTATAAGGTCAGTTGCAACTAGTTCTTTTAAAGTCATTGTACTGAAAATATATTACAGTCATGGCCGAAATTGTTGGCACCCTTGATATTTTTCCTGAAAATCAAGTATTTCACACAAAAAAGGTATTGCATTAACACATGTTTTGCTATACACATGTTATTCCCTTTGTATGTATTGGAACAAATATAAAACAGAGGCAGAAAAGCAAATATGACATAATGTCACACAAAACCCCAAAAATGGGCTGGACAAAAGTATTGGCACCCTTAACTTAATATTTGGTTGCACACCCTTTGGAAAACATAACTGAAATCAGTCGCTTCCTATAACCATCAATAAGCTTCTGACACCTCTCACCGGAATTTTGGACCACTCTTCCTTTGCAAACAGCTCCAGGTCTCTCTTATTGGAAGGACACCTTTTTCCCAACAGCAATTTTAAGATCTCTCCACAGGTGTTCAATGGGATTTAGATCTGGCTCATTGCTGGCCACTTCAGAACTCTCCAGCGCTTCTTTGCCATCCATTTCTGAGTGCTTTTTGACGTATGTTTGGGGTCATTGTCCTGCTGGAAAGACCCAGGATCTTGGACGCAAACCCAGCTTTCTGACACTGGGCCCTACAGTGCGACCCAAAATCCTTTGGTAATCCTCAGATTTCATGATGCCTTGCACACAGTCAAGGCACCCAGTGCCAGAGGCAGCAAAACAACCCCAAAACATCATTGAACCTCTCACCATATATTTTACCGTAGGTACTGTGTTTTGTTCTTTGTAGGCTCATTCCGTTTTCGGTAAACAGTTTTAGAATGATGTGCTTTACCGAAAAGCTCTATCTTGGTCTCATCTGTCCACAAGACGTTTTCCCAGAAGGCTTTTTGGCTTACTCAAGTACATTTTGGCAAACTGTAGTCTTGCTTTTTTATGTCTCTGTGTCAGCAGTGGGGTCCTCCTGGGTCTCCTGCCATAGCGTTTCATTTCATTTAAATGTCGACGGATAGTTCGCGCTGACAATGATGCTCCCTGAGCCTGCAGGACAGCTTGAATGTCTTTGGAACATGTTTGGGGCTGCTTATCCACCATCCGGACTATTCTGCGTTGCAATCTTTCATCAATTTTCCTCATCCGTCCACACGACCAGGGAGATTAGCTACAGTGCCATGGGTTGCAAACTTCTTGATAATGTTGCGCACTGTGGACAAAGGCAAATCTAGTTCTCTGGAGATGGACTTGTAACCTTGAGATTGTTGATATTTTGCCACAATTTTGGTTCTCAGGTCCTCAGACAGTTCTCGTCTCCTCTTTCTGTTGTCCATGCTTAGTGTGGCACAGACAGACACACAATGCAAAGGTTAAGTGAACGTCTCTCCTTTTTATCTGCTTTTCAGGTGTGATTTCTATATTGCCCACACCTGTTACTTTGCCCCAGGTGAGTTTACAGGAGCATCACATGCTTGTAACATTCTTATTTATCCGCAGTTTTGTGAAGGGTGCCAATACTTTTGTCCAGCCCCATTTTTGGAGGTTTGTCTATTTGTTGTGTGACATTATGTCGAATTTGCTTTTTTTCCTCCCTTTTTTTGTTTTGTCCCAATACACACAAAGGGAATAAACATGTGTATAGCAAAACATGTGTTAATGCAATACGTTTCGTGAGAAATACATGATTTTCAGGGAAAAATATCAAGGGTGCCAACAATTTCGGCCATGACTGTATATCATAATCAGTTTACATACACAATGCCATTTAAGTGTTTACTAAACCCAGGACCCTGCATTCACTTTATTTGGTCTCCCACAGTACACAGAAATTGGAAATGTAATTATTTTAGTAAATATAAACTGCTAAATACCTTTTTTCATCAGCAGTTAGAGAGCAGTCTTGTGACTTCTATTCAGTGTCCAGCAGAACACTGGTTGAAGCTTGTAGGAGTTTTTTTTCTGCTCTAGGAGGGTGCAGAACCCCTGACCTCTGTCTGGACAGTGCTGATAGGACCTATGCTGTTATCATGCACTCTCCCCAGAAACAAAAACCTCTCTAGTAATATACACCAAACTGAGCATGTGCAGAGTGTCTGTACACAATATATCATATCAGGGGATAAGAGGGGGACACTGGATGAAGGGGAGGGATCAGAGAAGTCAGGATCAAATGGCACAATGTGGAGGATTGACCCCTTAGGTTCCACAGTGAGTATAACAAGCATGCTTTACTGCATATACAGACTGATTTTTTACTGTTGTGGGTTTGGTAACACTTTAAGAGTTATACATTTCCCTAAAAAACACATTTCTAAAATGTTATATTATATACAAAATAATTTGCTATATTTAATTTTTAAAGACTTGTTGTCAAAGTAAATACATGACTTTATTTGCTCAAAAGCACCGAATACATGTATGTATGTTACTGTTATACTAACATTTTTCACAGCAGAAATTAAACTGAAAGATCCAGCTTACAGAAGAAAAGACACTTCTCACTGGTGGCCATTTTTCACAGCAGAAATTAAACTGAAAGATCCAGCTAACAGAGGAAAAGACACTTCTCACTGTTGGCCACTAGGGGTAGCACAGTCCTAAGCCAAAACTATTCATGCATCCCAATGCCATTTTCAGACATGAGCAGTCTGTAATGTTTGTATGTAAAGATGTGCTGCAGAGAAGATTATTAATTAAAGCATTGGTGCATGATGTCTCTATCTGTTGCTCTCCCTCCGTTTTTATGTCTTTAGTCTGCCTGCACATATAATTCATTAATTTCATTTCAAGGCCTAAACTTTTTCACTCTATATAGGTTAATTAAGAAGCATGACAGACAACAGGAGGTTGGCAAGATGCCCTTTCACATCCTGCACTTGGGCATACAAGTTCTATTTTGATTTGGTGTCCAACTGGTTGAATTAACAGGCATACATTTTTTTTCCTAAGTGCAGTGGGCAGTGTACAGTTAATGAAATAGTTAATGTCACTCTAGTGCTTTACCCCCTGCTAACTTGTCAGCCACAGTAAATCTGTTGTCTGTTTATTTCCATAAAAATTCAATTACTGCTCAACACTTTATCCCTCTTATGTGAGCAATTAACGTTAGTACTTCTCACCCTAGAACTTTTAGTCTTGCAACCTGGCCAAATTTTGTCACAGTTGTCTGTTGTTTTTCTCCCCTGTATTAGGTTGCTGTCAGTTATCATTGATTGACGGCATTAAAAGCCATTTAGCGGGACAGTGTATGTTCTACAGTCCAAATAAGCGCGCGCTATAAGTGAGAGCAGCAGATGGTGCTCTGCTTTAGAAAAGTGACAATTGGCAGCTTTAATGAATACAAAATAAATGAAAAAAATGAATGCATGGCTATATGGTATGCAGAAAAACATGTTAGGGGATCATCAGTTTAAAAAAATTTAATTTACAAATTCTTTGAATTTTGGCTTCTCTCCTATTATCATTGTACTATGAAATGTTTTGAAGATGGTGAGAATACTAAAAACATAATTTGTATGAAAATAAGGGTGCTAAATTGGAGGGAAAATGTTGCACTGAAAACATATTTGTTTTTTTTTTAAATGTAGCTACTGCTTCGAGTCGTTCCTCTTAGTTTCCTGAGATGGCTATGGTTACTCAGGGATGTGAGCTGAAACATTATGGTGATCTGGTATCACAGCTTGCCTGAGCAAAGGCAGATTTATTTATGGGGTAATTGTCCACTAGGTTTAGAAAAAGAAAATAAAATCTGAACTGTATATTTAGTATATATCATACTATTCCCTTAGTAAATTGGGCTTACTGCTTCTCTTTCTCTATAAGTCTTCTTTCACATGGTTTGGGGGCAGTAAAATAGGCATTTGAGTCATTATTATTTTTACTATTATACAGGATTTATATAGCACCAACAGTTTGCTCATCGCTTTACAATATAATAGGGAGGCGACACAGCAACAATACAGTTCAATACAAGAGGTTTAGGACGGCCCTACTCCTTGGAGCTTACAATCTAAGAGGGAGGGGCTGTTGGTACAAAAGGTAATAACTGTGCAGAATGAACTGATAAGAGAAATAGAAGATTTCGTTAATAGCTGAAGGCAGGATAGTCTTCCCGGAAGAGGTAGGGTTTTCAGGGATCGCCTAAAAGTGGGTAGAGTAGGTGATAGATAGATTGGGGTAGGGAGTTCCAGAGGATGGGGGAAGCTCTGGAGAAGTCTCGTGGAGACGAGCATGGGAGGAGGAGACAAGGGAGCTAGAGAGCAGGAGGATGTGGGTGACAAGATTGGTGATGTCATTTTTGGAGACAAGATTGGTGATGTAATTTGGGGTAGAGTTATAAATGGCTTTATATGGTATTGTTAATGTTTTGAATTTTATTTGTTGGGCAATGGGAAGTCAGTGGAGGGATTGGCAGAGAGGGATGGCAGATATGGAATGTTTGGTAAAGTGGATAAGTCTGGCAGCAGCTCATGATAGACTGAAGAGGGGATAGCCTGCGATTAGGTAGGCCAATGAGGAGGGAGTTACAATAGTCCAGGTGAGAGATAACAAGGGAGTGAATAAGTTGCTTAGTGGTTTCAGTGGTAAAATGGAAGTATCTTGGAGATGTATTGGAGGTGAAGTCTAAAAGATTTGGACAGTGATTGGATTTGGGGCAGAAAGGACAGATGGGAGTCCAGGATTACACCTAGCACCCTGGCATGAGGGGAGGGACTGATTGTTGTATTATTGATCTTGATGGAGCAGTCAGGGGAGGGGGCACGGACTAGAGGGAATAGTATGAGCTCTGTTTTAGAAAGATTTAGTTTGAGGAAGTGGAGTGACATCCATGCCACTTAGTAGGTTAGTAATGCGAGAGGAGACTGAAGGGGTGAGGTGAGGGGTAGAAAGATAGATTTGTGAGTCATCAGCATAGAGTTGGTACTTGAAGCCATGGGAGTTTATCAAGTGACCAAAGCAGGAAGCAGGAAGTGTAGATTGAGAAGAGAAAGGGTCCAAGGACAAAACTTTGAGGGACTCCTACAGAAAGAGGAAGTGGAGAGGAGGAGACAGAGTTATAGGTAACGCTGAAGGAGCGCTGCGATAGGTAGGAGGAGAAGCGGGAGAGAGCAGAGTCTCGTAGGCCAAGAGAGTGGAGTTTTTTGAGGAGGAGGGGATGGTCAACCGTATCAAAAGCAGCAGAGAGGTCAAGTAGTAAGAGTATGGAGTAGTGGCCATTGGTTTTAGCAGTTAGTAAATCATTAGTGAGTTTTAGTAGGGCAGTTTCAGTGGAGTGTAGTGAGCGAAAGCCAGACTGTAAAGGGTCAAGAAGGTTGTTGTCAGTGAGGTAGGAGCTCCAGCAATTGTAGACTAATCATTCTAAGAGTTTCGAGGTAAACAGGAGCAAGGAGATGGGCCTTAATTTGTTCAGATTGATGGGGTCCAGTGAGGGCATTTTAAGTATGTGAATGATCTGTGCATGCTATAGAGGCAAGGGGAAGTTGCCAGTACAGAGGGAGAGATTGAAGGTGTGAGTGGGAGAGCATAGGATAGAAGAAACTGGTGACCGTAGTAGTTGTAAGGGAACAGGATTCAAGGGGCAGGTGGTAAGGTGGCTTCTGAGAAAAATGTGAATGACATCTTCAGAGGTAGCAAGGTCAAAAGAGAAAAGTGTTGAGGGAGGTTTAGTATAAGGTATGCTAAGTGCGATGGATGTCTGTATGTCTGTGTGGTGGAGATGCCCCTACAAATTGCATCAATCTTGTTTTTGAAATGATTGGCAATCTCATAAGCAGTTAATGAGTTACTGGGTGGAGGTGAAGGTGGAGAAAGTAGAGAGTTAAAAGTAGAAAAGAGACGACGAGGACTGGATGACAAGGTTTTAATAAGAGTGACAAAGTAGGCTTGTTTGGCAGCATGAAAGGAGGAATTGTATTTTAAGAAAGCAGATTTTATAAAGGATGAATGCTTACTGGGATTTAATTTTATGCCACAATCACCGAGTTATGGTTTTACCACCCTATAAATGCCCAGCTGCAATGTTTTTCATCAAAGCTGCAGTCACATCAGGAGACTGATGAAAGGGAAAATCCCCCAGAAACATGTCTGTCCCTACCAGCATCTCGGTTCCACGTGTGATGTCATCCGGTTAACAACAACAGCGGCCTGTTTCTTCTTCCTGTGCTCAGCTGTGTCTGAATTACAGTGGGAATTCAATTTAGCTTGTCTGGGCACCAGCACCCCAGAGCCTCAGAGCAGACTTTAAGGGATCAGCTACCAGTGTGTCAGGGATGGGCTCCTGCTACTTAATGAGCAGTTTTTTTCTTTCAGTGCTCAGAAGCTGCTCAGCTATTGGTTAATTACTAGCCACTCATTGTCTCCACAATAACTCACCTAGATACTATTACCTGTCTCATTAGTTCAGCCTACAGCCAGCCATTGTTGCTATTTTAGTAGCTTCACTCATTTTCTCCTTGCCCTTGCGTGGTCTATGATCTTCAGTGTGTTCCTGCCTATGTTTCTGTGTACAAATTGGTCTGGCTGACTTCTCTTCCGATTCCTGTTCCTGATTTTTGCTCCTGACTACGCTGGTGTCTGGTTTCCTGACCCTGGTTTGTCTTTTTACCCTCTATGGCATCCAGACCCTGGTTTCTGTTTTGACTAAGTTCCTGAACTGTTTTTTTTTTGCTATTTCATTAAAGGTGTGATTTTAACTGCACGTTCTGTCTCCGCCTGGTTTATGGTCCCTGACACAGTATTCAGTACTGCATGCTTACCCCCCCCTTTTGTTTATTTTTAAATGCATTTTGTACTGTTTTATTAATAAATGGTAACTCCTACTATGTATACTGCACTATGAGCTCTTTAACCTCTTCACGCCGGCAGCACACAAATGTGCAGCCTCCCGGGGTCTGGGCCTAGACGCTGAGCGGCCGCACATTTGCGTGCAATTAACAAAAAAATATGTGCTGAGATCGCTCACCCTGCCGCGCGCTCCCAGTACACATGTCC